TTTTCTCAGTAGCTGACGGTGTCCCTCCCGTTCCCAAGGAACACCCGGACAAACCAAAAAGCTCAAATTTGGGCACAACCACCCCCCCAAAAAATCCCAAAGGAGCTGAGGAATTCCTGTGCTCAGGGCACAGAAATCCCTGGGGAAAATCCAGGAATTCTCCATTTGGAGCTGAAATGCTCATTCCACTGTGGATAATTAATAATTCCAATTTTTTTTTTGGTGAAGATTCCTGGGGTTTTTTTTCCTCCTTTAGATTCCACTTTGGGGTCTCTCCTCAGGGAGATCCGAATCCTTCTGATCCCGCTGCTGCTCAAATCCCAGAAAATTCCATTTCCAGGGAATATTCCCCACTCAGCACCGGGCAGAAACTGCTCCAATAAAAAGTGATTTTTCCCATTTTATTTATTTATTTTTTTTTTTTTTATTCCAGAAGAAGAGAAAAATCCAAATCAGCTCCAGCATTTCCTGAGGTTTTTCCTTCAAATCCTGCAGGAAATTTAAGAGAAACCTCAACTCCCTCCCCTCGTGTTTATCCCAGGGCACGAAAAGCTCCGATTATTTGGGAATCTGGGAATTTTTTGCTGCCGTAGGAGCCGCAGTTCCCGAGTTCGGTTGGGAATTCCCGGCCAGGAGAAATCCAAAACTCTCCAGCGGCTCCTAGAGGAGCTGCCAGGCTGGAAAATTCCGCCAGAAATGGATTTTCCTCCTCCCTGGATGGATTTTCTTCCTCTCTGAATGGATTTTCTTCCTCCCCAAAATGTACTTTTCTCCTACCAAGGTTTTCCTCCTCCCAGGGTGGATTTTCCTCTTCCCAGAATTAATTTTCCCCCTCCCAGGGTGGAATTTCCTCCTCCCAGAGTGAATTTTCCTTCTCCCTGGATGGATTTTACTCCATCCTGAATTTTCCTCCTCCCAGCACGGATTTCCCATTTCCCAGGATGGATTTTCCTCCTTTCTGAATGGATTTTTCTCCTACCAAAGTTTTTCTCCTCCCTGGATTAATTTTCCTCCTCCCAGAGCGAATTTTCCTCCTCCCTGGATGGATTTTACTCCACCCTGAATTTTCCTTCTCCCTCGTTGGATTTTCCTCATCCTAGGATGGATTTTCCACTTTCCAGGATGGATTTTCCTCCTCCCAGGATTAATTTTCCCCCTCCCAGGGTGGAATTTCCTTCTCCCAGAGGGAATTTTCCTCCTCCCAGGATGGATTTTTCTCCTCCCAAGATGAATTTTCCCCATCCCAGGGTGGAATTTCCTCCTCCCTGGATGGATTTTACTCCTCCCTGAATTTTCCTTCTCCCTCGTTGGATTTTTTCCCCCCGAAGGGCTCAGGCATCGCTGGAAGGCGCCATTCCCTCAGGGATGATCCAGCCCCTCCCTCATTCCCAAGAAAAAAAAAAAAAAAACAACCACGAACTCCAAAAAGACAAAAAAAACCAAATCAGGATTATTTTTATTTCCTCGAGCTCCAGTGACACAACTGTAGCAGCATTTCACACCTGGATCCTGCATTGGTAAACAGTGAAGAAAACACTTTATTTTTTTTTTTTTTTAATTTTATTTTATTTTTGCCGAGGCAAAAAAATC